TGCCAAAAACTAACCTGAATCTAGCCGAGTTGTTGGATCTAACATCTGGTATCAATTGCTGAAGAGTGTGGAGCATACTCAATTAGATATTAAGATATATCATAATAGAGTAATAATCATAAAGTATGATATTGGTACAGGAATAGAACCCCAATGGAACAAGAAAGAGAACCAGATCTATGCATACATGTAAACTTGAAATATAACAAAAGTGAATTTTCAGATCATTGTGGAAAAATGAATTTTCAATAAATGGCTATGGGACAATTGGTTATACATACATAAAAAATTAAATTGGATCCCCTATCTCATGCCATACACAAAAATGAATTCTACAGTGAAAATATACTTAAATGTGAAAAACAGAACTTTAAAAATTTAGAAGGAAATATAAACTATTTTTATAACCTTCAATTAAGGACACATTTTTAAAACAAGATATGGAAAGCATTACAAATAAAATATTCATAAACTCACTATATTAAAATTAAGAACTTCTGATTATCAAGCAAGACATCATAAAGTAAAAAGACAAGTCAAAAAATTGTTTAACCTGTTTGTAGCACATAAAAACCAACAAAGGATTAATATTAAGACTACTTTAAGATCTCCTGTGAGAATCAAGAAGAAAAGACAAACCCAATGGGAAAAATGGGAAAAAAAATAAAAATAAAAGGAGAGAAAATAGGAATAGCAAGAAAAAAACAAAACAAAACATGGAAAGATGCTCAACCCCTAAAGTAACCAGGAAGATGCCAATTATGATCATAAAAAGATACTATTTTACACTGACCAGGGTGCAAAAAAATATCTGACAATACCAGATGCTGGTGAAAATATGAAGCCCTGGAAGTTATTTAGTAAACATCTCAGGTGTAAGTGTACATTGGGACAACCACTTGAGAATAAAATGTCTTGGATTATTTAGTAAAGTTGAACAGGCATATACCCTAAAACTCAGCTATCTACTCCTAGTCCATATGTACACCATGAGGCTTATTACAGAATTATTGGAGCAGTATTGAGCATAGTAGAAAAAGAAGAACTGAAAAACAACTCCAAAATACTTTTGCAGAAGAACGGATATATACATTTGACATAGTCACACAATACAATATTAAGTAGCAGAGAAAGCTAATGAACTAGAACTACACATACGACATGGACAAATATTAGAAACATTATATTGAATGAAAAATCGAATTGTGGAAGATTAAACACAGCGTGATACTTTTCAAAAATTGCAGTATACTTCACATGTAATAAAATGCATTATTCAACTCATAAGTTATGTAATTACCTGAACAGTTGAAACACAGAGCAGTTCCATTGTCCTCCAAAATTCCCTTGTGTTCCTTTGGAGTCATCCTATCACTTCAACCACATGCTTTGGTAAATACTGCTCTGTTTTCTGTTCCTATAATTTTACCTTTTCCAGAATGTAATATAAATGTAATCATATGTGATATAACCTTTTGAGTCTGGTTTCTTTCACTTTAGCATAATGCTTTTGAGGAAAATCCATGTTGTTTTCAGTAATTTATTTCTTTTTATAGTTAGGTAATATTCCACTGTATGGATATACCAAAGTTTATTCATGTACCAGTTGACAAGCATTTGAGTTGCTTCTAACTTTTCACAACTGTGAAATTGCTCTATATTTTATCCACATAACAACAAAAACAGAGAGGCAAGA